TGGATGTTGTCTTAACATGGCCAAGAGCAAGTGTAGTTGGTAGGGGGTGTGCCTACTACTACTACTACTACTACTACTAGTACTAGTACTAGTACTAGTACTAGTACTACTGCTACTCCTCCTGCTACTACTACCACTACCACTACCACTACCACTGCCACTACCACTGCCACTACCACTACCACTACCACTACCACTACCACTTCCACTACCACCACCACTACTACTACTACTACTACTACTGCTGCTAGTGCTCGTGCTAGTGCTAGTGCTACTGCTACTGCTACTGCTACTGCTACTACTTCCTACCCCACTCCTACTTCGAATTCTTCTTCTTCTTCTTAGACATCCACTTCTATCACCACAAGCACCACCACGGCGACGATGACGACGACGGCTACTTACCAAGAGCAGCAACAGTACCAACACTGCCAGCTTGCAGCAGAAACATGAAGACCATGATGCCAGCATGTACGACATCTCCGCGACGCAAGCATTGAGAAATCGACTATGACACGGGAGAAGAGCTGGAACCGTTTCACAGATTTAAAGCTGAACCCTTACTCCGAAACGAGCTGAATATTCAAGACAGGCACAAACTGGAGCTGGTCGCATGGAAACTCATTTGCACACTTGTTGTGTTTCTAGGGCAGCGCTCACATGAATCACACTGAGCGGACCACTCGAAGAATGCTTTGTGCGATGCCAATGAGTACGGGAAGACTGTCTGTCCATCGCGTGTCTGGCCAGTGTGCATCACGCAATTCTGGCACAGCTTACATCACGCCACACTTCCGGTGCTATAGCAATCATGCAATGCGAGTCCTGCCTTGCGCTGAAGCCAGTTGTATCCTGGAGGAACGACCTTTCGATGCTTTTGCAAGCACAGAGACGAAAATGAGTAAGGAAATCGTGGCCGCGAATCCATGCCTCATCTTCTCCCCACTCTTCGCTTAGCGAAGCCCTGTGTCCGCCTCCACCGCCTCTGACGTCTGCGAAACAGCACACACATTGATTTAATGTAAACTGAGATGCAGGAGAGTGCAGGGCGCACAATGCCTTTAGCATGGCGGTCAGATGTCACCGCCAAACCGGAATTAAGGAGGGTCTTCCCCCGTCTGTTGCGTAAGCTTCGCATTCTTCCTTATCCAAGCAGTGCATCTGGAATGTCCCGAACCAATCATACACCAACGGAACAGAACTTCTGACAACGATGCAAAGAAGGTCGGACGCTTTAACTTATGAACGCGTCAACCTCGCATCTTCTCTGAAGGTTCAAGTGGAAGACTCGCCAACTTACAGCAACTTCTGTTTTCGTCCGCGGCCTGGAGTGCTGACTGCAATTGTCTGAGGTTTTGGTGGAGGAGCGATAGTGTTCCTGAGTCAGAAAGAACTTCGTGCTTGCATACATACGTGTATAGAACATAAGCAAATGATTCACCCAACCACGCACAAAAATCCGAGGACTCTGCCAATAATCGGGAAAGTTCGAAGCCATCATGGGCAAGCTCCACTTCGGTGCAAACGGGTCACTGCCAGGCAGCCGGCAGCAAGCTGTAAGCGCTTCGGACTCCAAATAGAGAGAGTTCCCGAAAGTAGGGGACCCTAATATAGTACCCTATATAGTAGGATCCTTATTGTAAGCACCCCAAAATAAGGTAACCCCCTTCTTTGCGTTCCTTATCAGAAGGATCCTGCTAATTATTTGGTGTAGTTTATTAGGGTCCCACCTACTTCTCGGAAACCCCCTTAAAATGGGTTTTAGCATCTCCAGCCGGCCTCTGCCTCCGTGTTAGGCGCCGCGCAGGCCGCTGAGACTCGGTGAAAGCATGCAGTCGCCTCGGGCAGCTTTTAGGGGGTTTTGGGGGGTTTTAGGGATTTATTTATAGGGGTTTAGGGGTTTCGGGGTTTAGGGCGGCAGAGTCTGAGGGCTCTCCCATTTGCCGCTTTGCCGACCCCGGCAGCTTCCAGCTCTCAAGGGTGGGCAGAATACTGTTGCGTGGGCGAAGCGGAACTGGGTGCCCCCATGCTATGCTGTGCAACATTGGCCAGCATCATGAGCATGATTTGGAGGTTTGTCGGGCTGCCGGCGAGACTTCGGGGCTGGTGTGAGAAGGACAGAGGCGAAGTGCAGATCCGATGATGCTCAGGATGCGGGCCCTCTCCGTTCCAGATCCAGCCAGAGCCCCCGATGATGCGCATGATGCTTGTGTCCGGGCAGGTTCACGAACGCGGTCCCGGCGAGGCCTAACACTTGGTGGAGCAGCACGATTTGTGTCGTCTTGAAATATGCAGCATGATCAATGCAGGAGACATTAGGTGCTAGGATAGCTGGAACTCGCATCCAAACTTCATCTCCACCTTTGCGGCTAAACCTGAACCCCTGACCGGCTGCTCAAGCAAAGCTGCAGACGAGTGACACGACAGCTCTAATACATCTCTAGCCCAGGCGCTCCATGAAGGGGTCCAAAGGCTTCGGACTTCTGAAATGCTTCAAAGTCGATCGACCCTGGCACGCTGGATGAGAACAGGCAGTGCCACACTGCACAGCACACATCTCAGCATTAGCAGCACACTTGCCAGGAGACATTATCTCTCTCTGTTGAAGAGTCAATCTCGCCCGAGCTCCTCCCAACAATGCTCTTCACAAATCCAAGAGCCAACGGCGACAAAGGCATACCCCTTACTGGCAACTGCGCAAGAAAGAAACCTCGGCAATCCTCAGCAAATCCAAGTAGATGCCGAAGCTCGAAATGGCCACAAACCCGAGGCTGAGGGAGAAAACAGGGGCATGAGAAATATGAGCCCTCACTGTCAAGACCGATCACCGTGCGAAGCTCTTTAATTTGAAGGTCTGGTCCTGCTTTTCGTCATACTGTTGCACACGGTCCGCTGCCGGTACACAGTCGGCACATCAGGATGCCTACGAGCCATCGTGTTGCGAGCTGACAGCACTAGATTCAAACACAAGCCGCTGGAACGTGCAGGCATTCGCTGATGGAGCTCGGGCCACTGCTGCGTGCTTGGCAACTCAAGACCTGGAACCATTCAAAGGTAAAAGCTCCAGCTTTGAGGGACGCATTAGCTCGTCACCTAGACGTACAGTACACGAGGCTGAGCTTGACGAACTTCAAGGCACAATGGCCAGAACACGACGTGAAAGCTTTGCCAGCGTATGCCGCTGTGTGGTCATCCGACCGTGCGTCGAAGCTGCATCGACTGCTGGAGCATGAGAATTGTATTCTAAGGGCTGCATCGCGACCAGAATACCAAAATCACATCAGTCGGAACTGGTGGGCTTCAGAAATAAGCCCGGATGATCTGTGCAAAGATTGGACAACTAGCCGGCTCTAGACAACGGGCAGTGATGAATCAATCATTGCATGCATTTGCTGGTCTCTCGGTACCATCTCATCGCGTGTCTGAAACTCTTTCGGGAGGACCGATTTCCGACATGCTCCGTTGCTGAATGTTGCAATGTCGGTGCTTGCGCTACACCACACAATGGTTGAAGCTCTTCTGCTCGCCGTCGACATAAACGATCATAAACCCCAATGCAAGTCCGCGCCCCCGAGTCTGCGCGCACACACACTGTGGCACGGCACAGATGACTGCGACGAACGAAAGACAGGAAGTCGTCGTCATGGGCTAGGTTTCTGGTCCAGAAAAAGATAGGTTTCGGTCCCGCATTTCAGACCCAAGGAATGGAAGGTGTTGAGGGATTAGGGTCCTGTCCCTCCGCATCATCGTCGTGCAAGACACCTGGAATGACACAGGCTGCTGTCTGTGAAGTGCAATGCTAACAACAACAGGTAACACATTACAGGGATATGGGTTCTGTCCCCGTTGAGGATACCAGCTGCGGACTCAGCAGGTACGTTTACACGTCTGCTACTCATGGTCTTCGTTGGTCCCAGCATGAGTACAAGACCTGGGACCCCCTGCACCAAATTGGCCTCACACAGCTGTCGCGATATACAGGCATTTACACACACACACACACACCATAACCACGCTACAAACACTTAAACTTTGAAGCATAAAAACCGCACACTATCCCCGCCCACATCGTGTGCAGACATGGCTCTCGCAGAAAGGGTTCAGGGAGGCAGTCGGGATCTGTCAAGGAGCCACGCCAGGAACTGCGCCGCACAGGCCCAGGGGCCTGGATCTTTTTGATTATTTTTTGTTGTGTTGGTTGTGTTGATTTTTGAATTTTGGCCCTTTTGAAACAATCAAAAATCAAATATTATCATGTTGTTGTTTTTGATTTTTTGTGTTCTCCATGTTTGTGTTTTTTGGCCCTGCTGTAAAAAGTCAAACCAAACAAAAACAACAAACAACAAAACAAAACAGGTCCCTGGCTTTCTCACGCATGGCTCTCTTAGAAAGGGTTCAGGGAGGCAGTCGGGATCTCAGGGAGCCAGGCCAGGAACCCCACCGTAGAGACCCAGGACCCCGGATGTGCTTGATGTTTTTGATTTTTGCTTTGTTAATTTTTGTTGGGCTTTTTGAAAACGAAGAAAAAACGCAAAAAACTAATGATCTTTTGGAATTGGTTTCCCTTTTGAAAAGACATGTTTTTGAATTTGTTTGGGCCTGCTCAAGTCTTGAACCCTAAACCTGCGAGAGCTAAACCCTAAACCAAACCCAAATCTGCACCCATGTCTGTACAGTTTGTCAAGGCTGCTTTTGGTCTTGCGGAGCTTGTTGTGCATTTGGAGCGCAAGCACGCGCAAGCCAGAAAATCAACCCGCCTCCAGCCAGAGAGCACAGTTCGATGTGAAACTTGAGAGCTGCAGAAAGCCATCAATCCGGCCGGAAACAAGAAGAAAAAACAATCAATCCAATCGAGCTTGCCGGTGACAGAAAAAACAGAAGCTTGCCAAACCCTGGCCGCCAGCAAGAATTGGCGGTAGCAAACAGAAACCTGACGGGGATTCAAACGATGGTTGCGGCAGCCGGAGTGTAAAGCAACCGCCCAAACTTAAGCGAAGGAGGCAGTGATCGGGTCACATGCCTGCGAGCACTTGACGTGTCGGATCCATGCACCGAGTTCGAGAATACCTGTGTATGTATATGTATGAATGTGGCTGTATCTGTGTATGTATCTGTATGTGCATCTGCTACTGTATGCGGATCTGTATTTGTATTCATGTGTGTGCATGAATGTACTTATCTATCTATATATATATATATTTGTGTATGTATATGTAGATGTAGAATCATAAATACAGAAAACAAATACATGAATATGTACTGTATAGTAACCCCATGTGAAAGCGTGTCTCTGTCGAAAAGACATACAAGTAAGAAGTTTCTCATGTCTTGTCACAAAAGAGCTTTGGCAAAGCCCAAACCAAAGTCAAACTAAACAAACATCCAAATTCGGCAGAAAATTATTCAACCTCAATCTCCAAAATACAATAAGGTTCGCGTGTTTGGAGACAACATAAGAACTGTGGGGTTGGATTTTCGGTGAAGGGTACCTTATAAAATACCAGGTTCTCCGTTTTCATGTTGGCACAAAGGCACTTCCAAAGCTCGAGACACTTCTTCATAACGCACGTACATACAAGCAATGCCTCGAAAGGGGAAGCAACAAAGCTTTCGTGTCCTTGAAATTACGCACAAGAGAACTCCTCTGTGCCGAACACAGAGGCAAAAGTTAATCTTCTTCTCCCCTTCGTCAATAAACGATGAGTAATATTAACATCTCATGTTCTCGCTTGAAATACGATGGGGCTAAGTGTCACTGTTACGAGTTGCGAGGAACAACAAAGAGAGATCGCAGGAGCATCCAAGCATACACCGATCTACCCAACCCGCCCACATAGCTCACGTCGTTGAATCATGACTGTATCCTTTTCTATACACATCTGGTATACGTGCACACGAGTGTGCACGTCTCTGCTATAGGAATAAGTACCGCTACACGCTTCGACGTGCCCAGTCCCACCCAGCTCAAAGGTCAACGAGCAGCCTGGAGTTTGAACATGATTCCTTTTCAGTTTGTCCGATGTGGGGCTGCGGGAACATGGTGGGGTCGGTGGGGCCGACGTGAAACACCCGGGGCATCCATCCAGGGCTGCTGCAGCTTCCCAAACGGAACAATGGTTAATTCGTGCTTCACGAGCGACACCCAACCAAGACATACACATGTCCAAAAAGTCAAGCTTCAGCTGGGGCGAAGGCTGTTTGGCTGAAACGTCGAGCTGCTGACTGCAGCCTGGTGCAACTCTGCAAGACATGTCACTGCCGTGACACAACAGTCGTCATGCAGAGTACCGTGGCCCTCTTCAGTGATGTACTGCTTCGAGAAGTAGGCGGGCAGAAAAGAGACTCGACGAACATCTTTGCACAGTACACGCAGCTGAGGTCCTAGCCCAGCCACCAGCCACCAGTGGATTACCCAAGCCCACCTGAGGCCGGGAGGACGCAAGGAACAGTGGAGAGTGGAAGTTCCTCAGTGCTTTGCCGATCTGTGAGGAGATTTCCCACTGCCAGTACTGCGCAGCCAAGGAAGCTAACACAACGCCCCAGAATTCCCCTTCTGCGATGTGTTCCGCGGCCTCTTCAAAGCCCAGCCTTCAAAACGAAGTCAAAGCTTTACCAGAGCCTCTGATCATGGGGCCTTAAGCTTCCCTTCCACGTCGCCTTCGTGAGCGTCAAGCAACTCTATTGCTGAGTCCAAGAAGGAATCCACAATGGAGTTTATGGCGCAATCGACCTGACGAGATGGGCAGAAGCAGCTTGGATAAAGTCGCCCGAAGTCGACTCTCTCGACCCTCGGCGGAGTCAGGCTATGCGCAAGACGACGAGCTCGGCAAGAATCTCGTCATCGTCAAGTACCCGACACCTTGCTCCAGATTACACTGTCCATGTAGAAAGCCATGCGATTCCGACAGTTGGTCGTTCTGATCCTTTTTATCCTGCGTGAACTTATGAAAGAACCGCTGAGCAAGACTGTGAGCCCTTTTTTGCGTGACCAGGCACGGTGTGCGTACTTGCGATGTGCAGCAGACACGCAAGTAGTAAGTGCAAGACCATTTTTCCGGCCAAAATGCCTTGGCGACTGTAAAGCTGCTAGCAGTCACCGCTGCGATCAGCACAGAATTCCAGGGGTCAGGCTTCACATGCATCCCTGGTGGCTTTGCGACCATGTCCTGTGGCGCACTGTGCTGCACTTTGGATATAAACATGTCGCAGAAGGCCACTGCGCGGCCTGAAGCATTCAGCCCCGGCAGCTGCGTGGGGAAGTTCCGGGCTCGCAGAGCCTCTTTCACCTAGCATCTCAGTGGCCTACAGTGTCTCTTGTTTACCGATCGTCAGTTAAATCTTCTGTCTCTCTCTCTCTGCCTTTCTTCTTTCACTCTGTACAGAGGCAGCTATTTTCTTTGCACCTGGCAGTCTTGGACTTAAGCTGTCACTATCTCCACGATTCTCTCGATCCGGGAATGGTTGGGGAAGTGCCTCTCGCGACATCAACTGCTCTTTCCAGGAGCCTGAAGATTGGAGGCTTGTGCACAGGTCCACTGCTCGCGAATGCGCTTTCCTTGCGCAGTGTCCTGCACAAACTCGGCATTCGACAGCTCACGTGTCTAGCCTCTAGACTTTCCCCCCTGTAGGAGAGCAGATCCCCTGTGACTCGGATCCTGGTTGATGCCTGCAACAACGTTCTCAAGAAGGCGGTCTTGGGCCGCTTCCACCAACTTAGCTTCTTGGAGGTCTGGTGTCGTTTGCGGGTATAGAAGGTGATCCTGAAACCTTAGAAGCGGGCATGCTCCTTCCCCGAACCTGCAGGACTGCAGGTGCCAAAAACTCACAAAAACATATCTCTGAGGTGTTCCGGCCCTGGCCTTCCAAAGTTGAAAAGCCTCGGAGAGCAACAGGGATGTGAAGATTTGGAACCCTGTGAGGCACCGGAAGGCACGCTGAAGGCCATGACCTTTGCCCGGCAGCTCCCAGGCACGGCCTCCCTTTGCAGGGGAGACCCTGGTTGCCTCAGCCGCGGGCTTCTGAAAAAAGGCCAGGCACACTTCGTTCGAAAGTAACAATGGCGAGGTGAACGGTTCTCTGTATGAGATTCCGAGAGCAGTGGAGTGCGAAGTAATACATACCGAGATGGACCCTTCTACAACTGACCGGCTCATGTATCCAAGCACCAAATCTTTCTAGAGATCCTGGGAACATCCTGGTCCTGATCAACATCTGTAGCATGAACTGATTTCTTGCCCAACCGAGCTTAGCTGAACAGTCAATATATATATATATATACATACCTACATACATATACACACATATGTCATTTATGGTATTGCTCGCCCAAGTGGCTCAGCTAGACTCTGCCGGAGTCTGTCAAGGACGTGTGCAGATGCGTAGGCTTTGGCTGAGGTCTCGGCACTGGAATCCATGACAATCTTGCCAACGAGGTCACGAAGCTCCTCATTGCTTGAGCACAGTGAGCCAGACCTTTCTGGCACTTTCATGAAAATACAAGCATCTGAACGTGCAGATGCAGGCAGCCACCAGAACACCCTTTCCCCATGCCGGAAGTCCTCAACCCGAACCCTAAACCCCAGCTATCCTTTATGCAGTCCTCTTGGAGGAATCCGACCAAGTTCTGCTCAAGTCATCTTCGGCCTGAGACAGTTGCTGACATTGGACTCACTTGACCAATTCAGGCTTTAGAGTCTAGGGTTTCGAGTTCAGGCTTAAGGGTCTCGGGTTGAGCCTGCGCCAAACAGGCTGACAACCGTTCACAGCAGAGCTGAAAACACTCACACTGGCCCGGAATGACGTGGCACCAGCGGCTTCTAGTTCCGGGTGTTATATCACCACAGACATAAAAGTCAGTGACCCAAGGCAAAAGGACCTGTCTGGTTTGCATCCCAAGTAAAACATGCTGGGTTTCTAGCAGCATGTCAGCAACCGCACTCTCGCTTGCTGCTGTGACTTGAGCCACAGTTGTCCAAGCGGAAGACATCACTTCTCACGTGTACGTGTGACACCTTGAGGTAGGAGTGGTTCAAGCTAAAAAGCAGCCTTGCGGGCCGCACGCATCCCGTTTCTACGACGGCACCTCACTTCGGGCGCAAGCCAGGATAAAGCATAAGGTTTCCAAGATTGCCCAGGAGATGTACACCCAAATGCCATGGGGTACTAATGTGAAACTCTTTGCGCGAAGCATGGTGCCTTGCCCGCATGTACATTGCGACAAACGCAAAAGTCAGAAGCGCATAGCCTGAGCTTAAAGCATTCAGCAAAGACAAAAACGGAGTGCCCGAACAGAATGGCCGGGCCTATAGGGCCAAGGGCTGGCACTGATGGCCCAACTCCTTGGAGAGAAACATCTCCTTCAGAAGTTGCGCTTGTATTCTCGGGTGCAGCCAAGTCTCCCATCAATGGTCGTAGGGGAGGGCACCAGAAAGCTGCCAGCGAGGCATTGATGCCGCCACCGACCACTCCCAAAGCCACACACATGTGGTATCTGAGTCTTTGACAGAAACTCTTCCATGACAGGACATCCACCGTCTGTGCCCATGATCGACAAGTCGGGCTCATTGCAAGCTGGGGTGCATCACTGTGATTGAGACAGCCGCCATGTCCGCATATCGACGCAACCCAAAAGTCGGGTGACGCCAATAGTTCAGGCCAGCTAAAAAAACCAGGAAGCCAAGGCAGCAGCAACCCCAACGCCTGCAACGAAAAAAACGCTCAATGCTTTCATGGAAGACTCTTCCCGCCACAAGGAAACAGTAAAGCTGTGCCTGTGAACGGCCGCCCCCACCGTCATCATGGAAAATTGCCCGCAAGAGTAGAATAGCCATCCTAATACTAATGGATCCATGCACACCGGCAGCACATGCTCAGTTGGTTTAACGCATGAGGTCTGTTGGAATGAACGGTTTCCAATTGCCGGCTAGCTTCTGGAATACGGCTTTGGTACGACCAGCTGCTTCTGTGTCACTCGGGAAGGTGCACATCTTTGTAAACGATGAGAAGGGCCAATCCTCAATCGCATAAGCCATAACGACACAAACACGTCGGGAGGCTGCAACTCCACTACAGTCACTACAGCATATCCCATGCTTCTGCAAGAAAAGCTTCCTTCAATCTTCCGAGCTGCAATCGGGATTGACACCCTGAGACTGCCAAACTGCACCTTGCAGTCTGCATGCAAGCAAGCGAAGCAGATGACTTCCGGCAGCGCCCCAAGCCAACGGCATCGGCTTGCGTGTTTCTGCGGTGGCTTTGGCACAAAGATATTCTCAAGACGCCTTCTGCCGATCTGTAGAAGAAAAACAGTTGGCCACCGAAATGGACCAATGTTGCCATGGCATGCATCAGTATGACAGTCTGTTCTCCGACATTTCGACTTGGGCTCGAAGCTTTGTGCCTGCAACAACCAACCAAACTTGCACAGCTGTCAAGTGATGATGAACGTCCGTGGTTCCGTGAAGTCGTACTTGGAAAATGGAAACAATCAAAACTGGTTAACCATGCGTTACAAAGCACCATCAGAAGCACGCCTTTGAACCGATGTCGTTGGAGACACATGGGGCAGGGCAAATGTGCTGTTGGTAATGCTGCTGATGCTCATCTTGTTAACCTTCTCGAAACGAGAAGCAATGTTTCCTGCTTAGACTTCCCAACAATGGGAATTGGAATTCGTTCAGGCAATCGTTCTTTCTACATCTTCTTGCATCTGACCGTGTGCATAACATTCGTTGCCCGGGATGTCTTTTTTTGGCCTTGAAGATGGCTTGAATATTTTCACATGGTGCAAATGACATTTTGTCAAAAAGAGACGTTGATCAACAAGGACCATTCATGTTCTCATATCACAAAAGCACAAAAAGAAGATGATGGGTTGGTTTCTACGTATGTCACTTTGGCAACATCGACCTGAACTAAGCATACAAAACAACGAACAAACTTTGTGTAGACCAGTTTCGCACTCAGACGACATGAATCCGATTCTCCCAGGGTCATTTGGGCATGAACTCCGCAATCTTGAACGGCGTCGTCTAAAAAAATCCAACTTGAACTTACGCGAATTGCTCATGGAAGAGACCCATGAAACTATTTGGTTGTGTTCAATTGGCGGCTGTACATCAATCTGCACAGGCGAACAGACAACCTATCGCACACGAATGTTTTGAACTTGGCGAACCAGATGAAAAGACGCGGTTCGGAACATCACATTCGTGAAGAAGACAACAAAACCTGTGTGATAAGAAATGTACAAGACACCAAAAACGGCTGGAGAAGCCTCGTAGCAAGGGCAGGTTTGGCAACCTTGCTAACTTAACATCCGTTTAGAACAAAGCTGCGTTTGCATTCTACTCCGTTGACATGTGTGCAAAGACCGCAACATTGTGCATGTAAGCACGAAAACTTAACAAGTTGAAGCGGTGACATCAATGCACGTGCCCAAGTTGCTTCCTTTTTTTGAGGTTGTATGGTTGGAAGTTTGCTGTAAGTCACTAGTGGAGTGTGACAAAACAGGCATCTATTGAAGCCTCAAGCTTGTTGCAAGACTTGGACGCTGGCTGTCCTCGGAAACTAACGTGGAACTTCGTGCTCCAAGGTCGCGACAGACGGGGGTGGGCCCCAGACCTTCGA